ATGATGAAATGGTTCCATTACTTGGGGAACCACTAAGAATGTTCTCTTGTATTCACAATGCAAAACAATAAATCTCTCCTTATGTTAATTTGTCCAGAACAGTTTGCTGGACAAATCAACAAATAAGGATTAATATGATATGGTACCTGTCCTTCCAGAGACAAACTTAGAAAAAATAAGTGTTCTCTGCTTTCATCAGGTACAAAGTAAGTACCACTTCTGAGTATCAGCAGAGCACTGCATATCCCTGTCCTCAGAGCTTACAGTCCAGTGAATCCAACAGTAATAGCTAGAGGAACAATTTCTCCCAACAGATGATGTGCTGTGGGGGGCGGGCACATATTCCTATGGCTGCATAATCTAAAGGACCAGGGAAGACATTCTGGGAGCTGTGAGATCTGAAGGATGAATAAAGTTAAGCTAGAGAAGGAAACACAAAGAGTATTTCAGATAATATGCAACATCAGAAAAGCCTAGTGAGGAACTAGAAAAGGGGGACATAGAACCATAATTTGAGCAATGACATTCAATGGGAGAGGCAGTCACGGGAGAAAAGAGGTAGTCAGAGACCAGGTCATGAAGAGGCTCTGAGTATCAAATTTTAAGGAGTTTAAAATGTCATCCTAAAGACAACATGAATCCACTGTCAGATTTTGTGTGTGAGAAAGTTCACTCAGATCTTTGCATAATATTGCAAGTACAGGTAGTGTACCCATTATTAAAACTCCTTTGCCTACCTGTCCATGTCTCCACTTTTCTCCATCTCAAAAACTAAAGAATAAATGTATAGATTCCAGAAATAGGAGTAAAATCTAGAGGAGTAAAAGCTGACTCTATCGTGGCCCAAGTATATTTCAAACCAAAATAAGGTTTCTAGGGTTGGGGGTTCCATACTTGTGCTACAACAAAGATATGACTTGAGGTAATAGTGGAGCATGTGGAGATTATGAATTGAGCAGCCTGCCAACCTGGGACCTCAAAGAGTCACCCCTTCACTGAAAATCGGCCTACTATGCAGAGAAAGTACAAGGGATGGGCTTTTCATAGCCTTGGGTGGGACAAAATATACTTGAGGGCAGGGAGGACCAAAACATATCCTAAAAATGTGATTCAAAAACATGGAAACATCCAAAATCATTGAAATGTTAGCATTTGGGTAAAAGCAAATGAAGTTCCATTAAAAAGGCTTGCTTTTACAACTTAAGGCCCAGGACTCCCAAAGAAATAGTCTCACAAAAGATGGGCATAAAATTTAAAAACTATAAACCACCATGATGTAGAGAGATAGCCTAATTAGTTCAAGAAGATCTAGGAATTATGGAACTATCTAAAATAGACTGGAAATATGTTGTAAATGATGGAGGATAATAAAAAAGTGAAAGCATAAATGAAAATGTTTGATGACAATAAAAATGAATAATATTGTCATTGGCCATAAACTAATTTGAAGTTCAACAGCAGGTGAGACAGCTATAAAAGCTCACTGGATAACTAAAAGGTCACTCAGGAGGTTGTCGTACAACACAGAAAGATTGAGAAACAATGGATACTTCAGACTGCTTTGGATTCTGGGCTGGAGGAGGACAGGACCAAGAACACCAGTCCTGAAATTTGTTCCAAATCATCCATTCAGAATATAAGTGCTTGTTATATGCCAGGGCTGATTCGGGGGTCAGGATATGATAATTTTTTTTAAAAGGTCCTGGTAATGCATTCTTGTGTATTGTAGTGGCTCCACCAGAGAAATGGCAATGGAGATGAAGACATAGATGAATATGTAAGACAGTTTTTTTAGAAGTTAGAATTAATAGTACTAGTAAGAAAAAGAAAAGAAAAAATGTAGTMGTACATGAAAGAAAATTATTTTTTTCTATTAAAGAAGGGAGGGAAAAAAAACCTCAGGGTAGAGGTTCCTTGTTTTAAATACATTCATTGTGTATTTTTATTGATATTAGTGACTTGAAGGAGTTTCACAAGAAAAATGAACAATGTCTATGTAATATGACATACCCTGTGGTAAAAATGTGCTCAGGTTACTCTGGAAGCACTTAGGTAATATCTAACCAAGGGTAGGGGAAGTGGGATCAAAGAAAATAGCTCAAGAAGATACAAAGTCTGAGTTACATCTTATCTTGAAATGTAAGTGAAATTTAACCAAAGGTACAGTCAGAAGGAGGAGCATGTCCAAAAGCTAGAGTGGGACACTTGTGTATTTTGCATGCACACTGGGTACATGTGCACACACATGTAAGGATTGGCAAAGAGAGCAGATGGAACAAAATTAAAATCAACCTGACACATAATACATAGAAGTTTGTTCACTTCCAAGACAGGAAAGAAGGATCTTACGTAGGGGAGAGACATGACCAGATTTACCATGAAAATTTATTTTGGTGATACAATGGATGGTAACTTAAAAGTCACAACTCTAGAGACAGGTGGCTCATATATGGAGACAGTTGCAGTAATCCAAATGAGAATTGATGAGAACCTAAACTAAATCATAGGAATGAAGAGAGAACCTATTAAGAATAGCAACACACCTTGCAGTATTGAGGGAATGGAGAGCACTCCATGCAGAAGGGACGGCCTTCAAAAGACAGGGAGGCCTGAGAAGACAGGCTGTTGGTGGAGATCAGCAGTGCATCCATTAACAGCTGAGCAGTACAGAAAATAGGGTAGGAGATGCAGCTTGAAAAATAAATTGGGGCCTAGYACAGTGGTGCATGTCTGTAACCCCAGGACTTGGAAGACTGAGGCAGGAGAATTGCAAGTTCAAGCCCACTCTCAGCAACTTAGCAAGAGCCTGTCTCCAAATGAAAAACAAAAAGGACTGGGATGTGCTCAGTGGTAGAGTGTCCCTACGTTCAATCCCCTGTATGGCAAAAAGAAAACATAGATTGGAACTGAATGTGAAATGCTTTGCTTGCCATTACCAGGATTTGGAATTGATTTTACTAACATTAAAATGATACTGGTTTTAGTTGGGCACAGTGGCACACGCCTGTAGTCTTACCTGCTCGGGAGGCTGAAACAGGAGAATCTCGAGTTCAAAGCCAACCTGGGCAACTTAGCAAGGCCCTAAGCAGCTCATTTAGACCCTGTCTCTAAATAAAATACAAAATAGGTCTGGGGATGTGGCTCAGTGGTTGAGTGGTCCTGAGTTCAATCTCCAGGACCAAAAAAGAAGGTACTGTTTTTAAATACTGAGATATGTACTTGGAACTATAATTTAGAAAAATAGTAGTTAACACTGCAGTGCCATTACTCTTCTAAACACTTAGATTTAATCCTCATAGGAACACTATTATATTGCTGTCATTATTATCTCCATTCTATATATAAGGAAATCAAAATCAATATAAGAATAAATCTACCCATAGTCTCACTGTGGTCTCATATCTAGTAAACATTAAGAGCCTTGATTCAGACCTAAGCAGTCTGACTTAGGATTCTCACACTTAATCTTACACACCTTCCTCACTGTTTGCAGCCAGAGTTCACATTAGAACAGCAAGTAGCATTTCTAAAGATACAGTTGTCTAGACTACCTGTATCACAATGTCCAAAAGAATGATGCATGCAGAGAGTTCTGTTGTACTTTATTCCCAGTTGACTACTGCAAGGATCCCAGTTAGGAAGCTATAGTAGGAGTCCAGGTGAGAAATTATGAGGGGCTCCAACTAAAGCAGCCAGCAGGAAGGAAGAGGAGGAAGAATTTATAGTCTTAAGATGTAGAATGGGCTTAATGAACTGTAAGCAAAGGGGAATAATTCAAAGTTAAATCCAAGAATTATAGAATTGAGTGTCCCCTTAACAAGTGATGATATCAACCAAGTCAAAAAGAAGGTTGTTGGGGCTGGGGATGTGGCTCAAGCAGTAGTGCACTCGCCTGGCATGCGTGCGGCCCAGGTTCGATTCTCAGCACCACATACCAACAAAGATGTTGTGTCCGCTGAGAACTAAAAAATAAATATTAAAAAAAAATTCTCTCTCTCCTCTCTCACTCTCTCTTAAAAAAAAAAAAAGAAGGTTGTTTTTTAGAGTAATTAATAAATTTGGTGTTGAACACTTGAGTTTAGAAGTCTGTGTGTCATCCAATTAAACATATTGTCTTTTAGAGTGCCTGTGTGCCAACCACTATTACTTTCCTCAGTATTGTCCATATAATCTCTTCCTTGGATCTCTGAGGATTCCCATGTCACAGAAATTAATATTGTGTATAAGCCCAGAATGCACTTCCATAAAGCCTTCACCATCTCTGTCAGTCCTGTTGACATGTCTTTTTCTCACAATACACATGCTAACACATGTAAATATCTGTGTGCATATAAAATGCTATGAATATACTGTGGTCAGTACCAAATTTGTTTGGGGTTTGGGTTTGTGTGTGTGTGTGTGTGGTTCTGGAGATTAAGCCCCAAGTGTTCTACCAGTGAGCTACATCTTCAGCTCTTTTATTTTTTATTTTGAGACAGGATCTTTTTAAGGCTGGCCTTGAACTTGCAATCCTCCTGCCTCTTCCTTCTGAGTTGCTGGGATTTCAGGCATGCACCACCACACCCAGAAGTATCACTTGATTAACAGGTTATGAGATCCCTTTCTCTAGCCATTTTAGTACTACAGGGAGTTAGTACTACCTATAGTCTGTGCAAGAGATGATGAGGGCCATATTTAAAGCAGCCGCAAGAAGGAAGTAGAGGAAACAGATTTAGAAATTAAGAGGTAGAATTGGTAGTAGTCATGACAGAAATGTAATGTTTCCCTATAGAAAAGGAACCTCACTTAGGAAATAGGGTGGAGGGCCATGCCTTTCAGTCATGGATTTTTCTATCCCAACTAGATCTCAATGCAACATATGATGGTGGAGGTAGAGGTTGGAGAAAGGGGGATTTATTATTTGAAGAAGTATTACAATTAAAGAAGGATTACAATTAAAGTTAGAACTGTTATCCTAGTGCATAATCTCAGTTAAGCTGTTCTTTACATCTCTACTCCAGGTCCCTTGGGAGAAACTTGAAGTGTCCAGGCTGATACGGGGATTTTTCCTGTGAGCTCTAAATGGTGTGAGATCATCCCAGAGCCAGAAATGGCTACAGTCTTGGAACTAGAGGACCAGGATCTTTGGGAAGAAGAGGGAATTCTGATGGTCAAACTGGAGGATGATTCCATCTGCAGGCCAGAGTCTGTCTTACAGAGGGATGACCCTGTGCTGGAAACCTCTCACCAGAACTTCCGATGTTTTCGCTACCAAGAAGCTGCAAGCCCTMGAGAAGCTCTCATCAGACTCCGAGAACTTTGTCATCAGTGGCTGAGGCCAGAAAGGAGGACAAAGGAGCAGATCCTAGAGCTGCTTGTGCTAGAGCAATTCCTCACCGTCCTGCCTGGGGAACTACAGAGCTGGGTGCGGGGCCAGCGGCCAGAAAGTGGCGAGGAGGCAGTGACGCTGGTGGAGGGTTTGCAGAAACAACCCAGGAGACCAAGGCGGTGGGTGAGGAGGGGGAGTCCTGATCTGTGTGATGTGGAGGGGGACTGTCTACTGGAAGGCTGGATTTGCGGGGAGGGCTCACAGGGCCCCCATAAGTTATCCTTTAAATTTAATCAGTTCTGCTTTTGGGTTGCTCCTGGATCCATGAGCCCCACAGGGCAGGGGTATGTGTGTGTATGAGTGTGACCTTCTGAGTTTTGAAACATCTGCCTAGGGATTATCTGAGGAGTCATAGTTTTGGTTTTCTTTCTTTGGATGTTAATCATGGGTTTCCTGGGGAGGAGGATTTTTTTTTTTTTTTTACTTCCTCAAAGGTTCTCGACCCTCAATCTCAGACCCCATTTCCAGGATGGTAAGCTGGGGAGGCAGACAGCAAGGACCAATCCCACTGCATTTGGGATAGGTGAAGGTAGGCAGGATGGAAACATCAGAGCCCTGGGTATTGGGAGCAAGGGTTGAGGGAAGTGAGAAAGTGGTACAGTACCTGAGTGTCCCCTACCTTGTCCTGGTGAGATAACCTTCAGCTCTTCTCACATCCTAGTGCAATTGGAGTTTTGCCTCTTCGTCTGGGCCCCTCTGAGAGTTTTTCTCCAGGCAGCTTCTAATAAGCCCTGGTGACACCCAGGAATTTCCCCTTGACTCCATGGTGACTGGAGGTTGGAATTATTCCCAGGTGACTGTCCATGTTCATGGCCAGGAAGTCCTGTCAGAGGAGACAGTGCACTTAGGGGCAGACCCTGAGTCATCTTGTGAGCTACAGGATGCGGCACAGACCTCAAGCCCTGAGCAATTCCATGAGGAAGCCACCCGGAACCCAGATCTGGGGATGCCAGAAGAGCGGAGCCTGCGCCATGAAGAGGAGTTCCAGCCCCTGCAGGAGAGCGGTGGGAAACCTGGCAGGAAGGGAGGATTGTGACAGAATGCAGGGAGGGGGGATTTCTTCTGCATCAAGGAGGCTGGGTAGATTGTAATGGAAAGAAACCACAAAATCCTGGATGTTGAGAGGAGATGGAACCAGCTAAAATTCCCCCAAAATGGGGCCAGGTTTAAATAGCAATATTCTTGTTTGTCCTCTTGGCTTTCTGGTTTTTGTTGTTGTTGTTTTTGTTTTGTTTTTGTTTTTGTTTTGCAATAGTGGGAATTGAACCCAACGGTGCTTTACCACTGAGCTACATTCCCAGCCCTTTTTAATTTTTATTGTGAGACAGGGTCTCATTAAATTGTTTAGGGCCTCACTAAGTTTCTTAGAGCCTCACTAAATTGCTAAGGCTGACCTCAAACTTGCAAATCTCCTGCCTCAGCCTCCTGAGTCCCTGGTATTGTAGGCCTGTGTCACCACACCCCCTTAATTGTCTTAAAGGTAGTTTTGGAATGCCTTTTCTCCTCTCAGGCCAGTTTCTTGATAACTAGGAAGTTAAAGCTACCTGACAACCAAAGATGATGGGATATGTCCAGCTCTTTGCCAGTTTGGGGGGTACCCTACATGTTGCTTATCTCTGCCTTGTTTTTCTCATAGAGGTTCCAGTGTACCAGGACTCAGACCTTCCTGCAGAGAGGAATTCTGGAGACCCAGAGATGGTTGCCCTTCTTACTGCTCTGTCACAGGTGTGCCCTACTTCCTCTGCATGACAGAGAACTTGTTTCAATACCTGTTGGATGTTAGTCATATGCTAGACCAATCAGGTAGGATGCAAACTTACACTCTCCCTTGGCAATTTAAGTTCTCAATTCTGCAGGTATATGGAAGGAGGAAGAAAATAGATTCTAATAGTCTCCATTGTATCTGCAGGCTGCTTTATTTGCCATTGACTAGAAGGGTTTAAAAAAAGGGGGGTGCTATTTTGGGATTATCTTGTGACACTCCTACATAGTATTGTTTGTTTTCCTGTTTAGTTTTGAAGTTGTTAAATTAAAGGGTTTTAGTTTTTGTTTTTAGGAGTAACTTTGCCAGTCTTCTGTAAGAATGTCTCTACTGCTGTGCTTCTCATGTTAGGAGCCTAAAACCATGTGACTAAAGAAAAAAAGAGTAGAATTCATCCATGGTTTTGGATTGTAATCTAGCTGAGGAAAAATGTCTTATTTATGCTGCAGACTGTGAACCTGATAAGAGATTAGATAGGGTAGGTTAAGGAAAGCTTCCTAGAGAAGGTAAATTTTTATAGAAATGAAGGTAGCATTTAAACATCAAATAGGGAATTGAATGATGACTTTTAAGAGCTTGGGTTTTAAACAATATCCTTCAGCAGAAGAAAATAAGCCAATCCTGAAGGAATGCAATGGGGTTTGAGGGGCAGGAGTAGGGTCAGTGGTTCCCAAAACTAAAAAGTTGGGAAATGGCACCAATAGGGGACACAGCTTCCTGAGAAGAAGCCTTATGACCCATTAGAATTTCTTTCATCTTCTTGATGGATCCTGCCTATGCATACGATTTTCATCCCAGAACAAAATACTGTAGTATCCTTATCCTCATTTTATGGAAAGAGGTATGAGAATTCTGATTGGATTCTCATGTTGTTTCAGGGCCTGGTAACCTTCAAGGATGTGGCTATATGCTTTTCCCAAGAACAGTGGAGTGATCTGGATCCAACACAGAAAGAATTCTATGGAGAATATGTCCTGGAAGAAGACTGTGGAATTGTGGTCTCTCTGTGTAAGGAATTTCATGTTTTCCTGGAGCATTCTAAGTACAGAGATCTTTTTCCTGTTGGAAATTTGGGGGATCCTAGGCCTTAGATTATATGCACTGAACTTCTTATGCTTACCCCACCAATGAAATAAATGGATTACTTAGTGGAAGAAGATATTCTTCCAAGTTAAAGGGAAAAGAGAAAATGTTTTTTAAAAAAATGGCTGGAAACCTCTAACAATAAAATAAAGCTATAGTGTTATAGCTTTAGTATAGAMATATTTGTGGTAAGCATATGAGTTTAGAAACAAGCAAAAGAGATGGAGATGATGTGCTTTCCTGAATATGGGAAAAGGGTATAAATTTTACATCAGTGTAATTATTGAGTTGCAGGCAGAAGGCCCAAGAAAGGCAAGAGATAGGCAATTCTTGGTTAGAGGTACTCCAAAAAGACCAAAGATTTGACCAACTGAGCTGTGTATTCACTATACAACCTACCAACCAGAAAAGATCTGCTCTTAACACAAGGAAGTGTTGAACCAGTCGTGATGTCCTGTTCTCCCTTTCTTGAGCAGCATTTCCAATCCCCAGACTAGATGATATCTCCCAGGTTAGAGAAGAAGAGCCTCAGGTCCCAGATATCCATGAGCCTCAAGAGCCTGAAGAGCCAGAAATCCTGAGTTTTACCTACACAGGTGAGGAATGACAGAAGGGGTCTTACCACCCTGAGTGGGCAGTTCCTCTAGTCAGTGCTTCTCTCTCCTCTAGGGCCCTGTCATTGGTTCTTTTGACATGTCAGCCATTACTGCCATCTCCCTCTGAAAGCCAGACTCTTCTGTCATTTTCCTCTTCTTCGCCCCTCTCATCATTTGTTTGAGGGATAGATGTTACAAAATGGTGAAAGAAAAATAAAACAACTAAACTCCTAGAATTGCAGCTATACCATTTACTGTACAATTCACTTAAACCCTTAATTCCAATCTCCACATTTATAAAATGAGGATAATAATACTTGGCTATGCTAAGGCTTCTTGATGTTATAACATATAAGAAAGTGCCTGGCCATGACAGGCATTCACTGGATTGATTATTTCCTTCTTTCCCAACCTCTACACATATGAAACACATGTTTCTCTCAATATGGTCTTGCCCTCCCAAAGCCCTTTTTAAAACTACCCCCTCATTGTGTAGAAAGCATTGTTAGAGTTATAGTGTCTCCTTTTTCTTCTCATCCCTTCTACAGGAGATAGGAGTGAAGATGAGGAAGAGGGTATTGAGCAAGAAGATCGGAGTTTAGAGGATATACACAGGTCTGTTTTGGGAGATCCAGAAATTCATCAGACACCAGATTGGGAAATAGTCTTTGAAGATTATCCAGGTAGACTTAATGAAAGAAGATTTGGTACAAATATTTCTCAAGCTAATAGTTTTGTGAATCCTCAGGAAACCATTCCTGTCCACTCCCTGTTAGGGAGGCACCATCACTGTTCTGTATGTGGGAAAAACTTCACATGTAACTCCCACCTTATTAGGCACCTGAGAACTCACACAGGAGAGAAACCATATAAATGTATGGAATGTGGAAAAAGTTACACACGGAGCTCACATCTTGCCAGGCACCAAAAGGTTCACAAGATGAAYACTTCTTACAAATATCCCCTAAACCGAAAAAATGTAGATGGGACTGCATCTCTGATCCAGGCTGAAAAAACTCCACCCGTGGAGAAACCCTACAGATGTGATGACTGTGGAAAGCATTTCCGCTGGACTTCAGACCTTGTCAGGCATCAGAGGACACATACAGGAGAAAAGCCATTCTTCTGTACTATTTGTGGCAAAAGCTTTAGCCAGAAATCTGTGCTAACAACACACCAAAGAATCCACCTAGGGGGCAAACCCTACTTGTGTGGGGAGTGTGGAGAGGACTTCGGTGACCACAGGCGGTATCTAGCACACCGGAAGACACATGCAGCTGAGGAGCTCTACCACTGCAGTGAGTGTGGGCGCTGCTTCAACCATAGTGCAGCATTTGCCAAGCACCTGAGGGGACATGCCTCAGTGAGGCCCTGTCGGTGCAACGAATGTGGGAAAAGCTTCAGTCGGAGGGACCACCTCGTCAGGCATCAGCGAACACACACAGGAGAGAAACCATTTACCTGCCCTACCTGTGGGAAAAGCTTCAGCAGAGGATATCACTTAATCAGGCATCAGAGGACCCACTCAGAAAAGACCTCCTAGCTTGGTGCCCATGGGAGATCCGTACTTAGTCCTCACCCAGCATGAGATGGGAGAAGCTCTCTGGTCAGCTTGGGGGGACCTTTTCTAAACTCTTCCTAACCCACCCAGACCATAAATAGCCTCTTTCCACCACCAAATAAAAGTTCCAGGAAGAACCACTTAATCTTCTGTATCTTGAGGAGATATTTTATCCAAAGTACAGCCTGAATTGAGGCTTTTCCACTGGAAGGCTCCTGCCTCTATCTCAAGGGTATGAAGTAGGAGAGTTAGAAGATTTAAGAGGTTATTACATTTTCTGGAAAATAGACTGTTACATATCCTCAAGACTACTTACCAGCCTCAAGTTTAAAATAGCCAAGGACAACCCCTTCAGTTTGGTAAGGGACCAGCCTAAAGGGTACTGTCCTTACTGGGCTCAAATCCTAAAGCACACAGCACTGAACTCAAGACCAATTTTTGTCCTGGTAGCTTTGCCACACACAGGATAACTACAGATCCTTCACTGTCTGACTCACTTCTTCACCATGTACCTTCTTTGATGCTGGGGAGAAATGGGAGAAGTGTTAGAGGGCAGAAACCTCAAGGCTGCTTCATTTGGATCTTAGCAAGCTGCTCCTTTCCCCATTGTCAAAATGTTACTGGTGCCAGAAATTAGAAAGGAAGGTCTCGTCACAAGTCTCTTCCTTGTCTTTTTTGTTGTTATTGTTATTTGTTTTGTTTTTGTTCCCTGTCTAAATGTTCATGCCTCTGGCCTTCCTACTCTTCAACCAGTCTAATCTCTTGGTTGTATGCCTGGCACTTCTGCAAGTGAGATGTAGCACTGTAGTGCTGAGGGATTCAGTAAAGCATAATTAAATCTTAATGAAATCATTTACGTTCCCACATATGTAGAAGCTCACCCTTTCCCTCTCTCCTTTGCTTGGGTTGTGAGGGGATTTGAACAGTATCCATTTACAAAGGCACTTTTAACAATTACAGAACCATGATTGACTGGGTCACTTCATTTACATGAAGAAAATTAGAGAGAATCTAAGATTAAACTATGGAAAAATAGGAAAAAAATGTTGCTGCAGGCCAAGACCATCAGTAATATTTTCCTGACACACAGTCCCAATCATCCCTGCCTCAGTTCCTAATGTCAGGGGAAATTATGAAACCCACCACCCGGGACCCTGAGGAGTTAACTAAGAGTAAATGGCTTTCATGTTTCTGTGTTTGATTTTCCTTATGTGATTTTATTTTCATGTAATTAAGAACTAAATAGTAAAAAAAAAAAAACTAAATAGTAATATCTCCTGGTGGTCCAAGGGTCTCTCTTCAAAGCTCCATGGAGATGAGCCAAATAATTATGAACCTCACCTGCTTGGATCCTAGGAGTGTCAAAGACTGGAGAGACATCCTCCATAAATGGTGCGCAGGGTATGAGATTAAAGCATGGAGAGGAGACAGTCTTCTGTGCCTGATTTCTTCTGCTCCTATCACAATCCATTGTATGCTGGTATAGACCAGAGGAATACAGTGGGTTGAGTGGACCCGCCCTTAACAGCCCAACAAAGAAATTTTTTAGCCATTAATAATATTGAACTGGTTTGGTTTTAATACCAGTTCTACAATTGTCCTAGAAATATGCACAAATGAAATAAAATAACACTGGCAGTCAAATTTCCTGGTTTCTGGCACCTTCTCTTTTGCCTACTCCCTTTCCAGAGCTTTGGGGTCCTGAGGCGTCTGGAGGTCATTCCTACTTACAAATAGATTTGGGAGTACAACATARTTTTCCATGTTGATAGTGAAGGCTTTGAATAGTTAGCAGAGCTACAGGTGGAACATAAACAAAAGATTAAGATGGAGCATAAACAGGATAAGATTAGAGTCTGAAGTTTGCAGAAGAGAATCTAATATGCAGGCATTTCTCATCCACCCATCTAAGGTCTGAGCACAGTTTGTCTTGGGAGAAATGTCAGCCTCAGAAGGTAATTTCTCCTACCACTTATGGAAGTTGATGAGATACTGAAGGTGACAGAAAAAAATTTGACTTTTCTTCTGTTTTATCTGTGCAATTAAATAAATGAAAGTCAAGAGACTTTATAAGAGTATGCATAAGGAAAATTAGAGAAATTGGTCCAATTTGTTGGAACATGAATACTTCTATTACTGAACCTCTGATCCCTTTTGTAAATTACTGTATTTTTTGTGGTTCCTGGAAGAGTGTGCTGTGTCCCAAATTGGAACACAAAACACCACTTTGCAGCAGCAGGGTCAGTGAAGGAACCTAGAAGGAAGGAAAAGCAGTCAGCTGACCATGGGGAGGTGAGGCCAGAACCCCCTAGAACTTGGTTAATGGTGGAATCCTAATATCTTCGAATACCACACCCAATAAACATTTTTAAGGCAGTGGTTATATTATTTGGAGGAAGCTATAAAGTATCCCAATAAATCAGTCAACAGAATATCTGGGTCAATTGGAATGGAGGAAATGATATACTAATAAAAGTTCAAAATTAAAGAATTCTAAGGAAATCATACATTATGAAGTAATTTTAAGAGTAACCAAAAATCATTCAACCTCATCCACAGAGTACAAAGAGAAATGTTAAGAGATGAAAATAAAATGTTTTTGTTTTTTAAATTTTATACTCCAAAGTAGAGTCTGGTGAATTCAGATGAACTTTACTGAGAATTTTGCAGATGGGATTAGCATCAAGAGTATTCAAACCAAAGCCCACTGGCGGGGGGGGGGAATGTGCTGCCTTTTCCAAAGCCTAACTCAAGTGATAGATCTAATAAAAGACACATTGTTTCTACTGAGCAGCAGAATAGGGGCCAATAAAATGCCCCAGTGAACCCTAAGTTGGTAGAGGCCATTTGTTCCAAAGTTCTCTGATCAGGGCAGCAACCTCTAGATAAATAGTATTTAAATAGTATTTTGATTGGCCAGGTTCCTGGAAGTACAGTAATCCAAATGAAAGGTATGGGGCTCCATGATGATGTAATAGAACAAAAGGGTAGATATGTTGACCTAGATATCAGTATTGATGATTGAAGCAAAAATCACATCTTGTGAAAATACCTCAAGAACAAGATGGACAGAGTAGATGGAGTTAAAATCTAAAGCTCAGGCACTATGGAAAAAGTGGTGAAGTACTCTGTACACAGAAATAAAGGATATGAGTTATCTCTAAAGTACTAGAATAATAGTAAAAGGAAAAATACATAACTGGTATGTTAATAGAAGGAAAATAATGAAGTACTCGAACATTAATGCAAATGGCCAGGCTAAGTGGTACACATCTTTAATCCCAGCAATTCAGGAGGCTGAGTCAGGAGAATCAAGTCAAGGCCAGCTTGGGCAACTACACTCTGTCTCAAATTTTCAAAAAGAATTTRGGGATGTAGCTCAATAGTACAGTGTTCCTGTGTTCAATCTCCCAAATTAAAAACAAGGGTAATAATGCAAATGAAGATAAAGGGAATATAAAACAGGTTTGTTATATAGATAACAAACAGATGATAGCTAAAACCCAAATATACAAATAATTACATTAAGTGGATCAGATACTACAATTTAAGACCAAGTTAATATAAGCATTCACACACAGAAAGAGTAAACATATAAGCACATTTTAAAATAATCGTTCTTGGAGATTGAGTGTGCTACAAAAGGAAAAAGATCTCTCCACTAGAGGCAGAGAGAAGATAACACTGTGAGAACAACTACCTGGACCAAAGAAGAGCAAATTGGGGGAAAGGAATGGAATTTATTGTGGTAAGAGTACAGAACAAGGAAACACCTGCTTTTTCTTGGTATGGGAACCCCTTTAGCCAGTTACCACTCATTTCTTGAATATARCCTGATGATTTGTACACTGAATGCTCAATGTACCTTGCTTTGTCTTCAAAATATGTGTTATAATTGTTTTTTCATAGGTTTGAATAAGTTCTCTTCTTTAAACTGAGGCTTAAAGAAGAGAATTTATTCAAACCTAATCATTCATGGAATGAGTTTAAAATTAGGATTTTTCTGACTCCATTATTTCACAGTAGCATCCTTCTTAGAGGAGGAGAAGGGATGCATAAGGCCAAGAGGAGGAAGAAAAAGGGAGTAAAGGCAGTATATTGTTGTTTGTGTCAGTGAGATACTGTTGTATCAAACCAAACACAAACTTTGGTTATAAGAGTGAGCATTTATTGGATTTATGCATTCATAGATTGGTAGATTTCCAAAAGCTGATCCTAGCTGGGGTGGCTGTACTTCCCCCTGATGCTGGGGAGCAGGGAGGAAGCAGAGGCAGCTCCGCTCYACATACTTTCATTCTCCCTATGGTCCAGTGAGGCTAGCCAAGTGTGTGTGTCCTGGTAATTTCAATGAGAAAAGTGAGCCCAACTACCAAAAACTTGTCAAGTGTTGTAATTCACATCTACTAACATCTATTGGGAAGAGCAGTCAAGTTACATGGCAGAGCTCAAAAGCCAACAGTGGGAATTTTCACTTGCCTTTAGTGGAAGGGACTCCTAAGTTATATTGCCAAGGGCTTGGATATAAGGAGGGGTAAAGAATAGGACTCAAAATTTCACTCTCCTTCTCCAGGCAAGAATCACAGCTCATTTTTTTTTAGCACTTTATATTCATGCTGGTTTGGAAAATACTTGTTTTTTATTAAAAAGTCTGGTAATAGCTGGGTTCAGTGGTGTACACCTGTAATCCCAGTGGCTGGGGGGGCTGAGGCAGGAGGATCATGAGTTCAAAGCCAGCCTTACAAACAGTGAGGTGCAAAGCAACTCAATGAGACCCTGTCTCTAAATAAAATACAAAATAGGGTTGGGGATGTGGCTCAGTGGTTAAGTGCTTCTGAGTTAAATCCCCAGTACACCCCCCTCCAAAAAAAAAAAAGTCTGATATTTGTCCTCCTGTGTGCACCAGAAAGTATTTTTCTTTTTCTTTCTCCTTACAAACCCATATTGAAGAATGGTATCAAAATCTTTCTTACCAATGATAAAGTAGGCAATTTAAATGATATATAACTATAGAAAAATCAAGAGCAGACTTTATTGCTCATAGATCTAGTCTCCCAAAGGGTTTTCATTTACTCCTTCATTTCACAAAGATTTATTGAGTGCCTTCTCTGCACTGGGCACTGCATTGAATTTTGTTGGTTATTCACTAATTTGTTCAAATCAAAAGCTGGAGGATGATGTGGAGGATGCAAAGGTGAATACAACACAACAGCACAGAGGGCTGTGGAGATCCATGTGACAAGTGACAGCCATCACTATTCAACTTGGAAACACAGCAAAATGCATGAGTAGAGGACATTAAGCTCAGTTTGAGTTATATTGAGTGCAAAGCAATATAAGACTTATTTCTATTTAGGTTGTCCACTAAATAGAAATAGGTCTGTTGTGAGAAAAAAAGGCCTGGAGAGGAGATGCACACTTGGGAGCAGTGTCCAATAAAGGTGTAATATAGGGGAGGGGTGTGGATGGGAAACTCTCAGGAAGGGAAGGTATACAAATGAAAAAGAGAAACCTGCTAGGGCAGGAACAAGTGAACAATTGGTAGAGGCAGAGGAGTATCCATCAAAGAAAACAGGAAAGACAAAGATTTTGGGTATTAGAAAAGTGTTGAAAATTTTCAAAAGAGAATAATAATTTAAAAAGGCGAAAGATTTATACGATCTGAAGAGAAACCAGAGTATAGAGAATAATAATTTAAAAGAAGAAAGTGGTCTGTGTTGTCAAATGCCATAGAGAGGTCAACTCGGATAAGAACTAAAAGAGAGCATTTGATTTAATAATGAGATCAATTAGGAAATGTGAAGAAATAATTGAAGAGCAATTAGGCATGGATAAAGAGACTGGGAACACAGAATGCTTTTGTAAGATGCTCGGGAAGGCAAAAAAAGGAGATAGCAGTTTGGGGAGAGTTGTTGCCTTTGCTCCGCTAAAGAACACTTGAAGCGTTAGGGGAGTCAAGACTGCCATTTATTAAGCGCCGGCTGTTTTCCAAGGATTGTGGTAAGAGGTCTATTTATATATATTATCATGTAAACTGAAAGAGAAAGAATAAAGGAAAGGGAAACGTTTTTTTAAAGGTTAGGGGGATAATTGAGGAAGGAAATCTTTAAGAGGATTGGATCAAAAATATGGGAAGAGGAATTAGCATTCTGTGACAGAGGAGATGGTATTCAGGTGAATGCAAAATCTGATCAGCTGGTACCAGATGAAAGGAAAACGAAAGGAATCCAAGTCTGATGCTTCTGTGTTCTGTGGTGAATGCTGTTTTTCACTTGAAAATGAGGGCTGTGGAATAAAGAAATGAACTCAGAAAGAGGAAATGGTTTGATTTAGGAATGAGAGGGTGGGTGGATTAACAACTTGAACTTCTGAGAGGATCTTAGTGCTCAACTAAGTGTTGTTAGGGAAGGTAGAAGAAAATGTAGCTTAGATTGTCAGGTTAATTGTGTAACAAGTTTAAGAATGATTAAACATGGTCTCTGGCTCAATGCCTTTCTCAAACCTCTACAACCRTATAAATCCCTACTGATTTAGGGTCTCAGACAACAGAAAGTCTAAGGKGTTTTATTAGGCAGGATTGTGTTAAATTGCAGTTAATATT